TTTTTGTGCGTGTGTAATCTTTACTAAACTGACAAGTGTTTGATTTTGGTACTTTTCAGCTGAAAGAAAGCCTGATGGACAGAAAGGAGATGGGGATAAGAAGGGTCTTCCTGTACCATCAGAAAGCAAGACTTCGAAAAAGAAGAAACTAAGGAAGGAGAAACCATCTAAGGATTCCAAAGACCAGCCCAATGAAGTGGATTCCAGCAAGGACCATGGAGAGGCGGCCGATGATACAAAGTCTGGAGAGGAAGCTACCGCTGTAGACTTGAAGGAGAAGATGAAGAAGATAGCTGCATCGAAAAAGAAAAAATCAAGCAAGGAGGTGGATGCTGCCGCCAAGCACGCTGCGATGGAGGCCGCCGCTAGGAGTGCGAAGCTCGCTGCTGCAAAGAAGAAAGAGAAGAGCCACTACAACCAACAGCCCGTGCGATAGACCGCCTTCATCTCGAGCTTCAGTATAAGCAGCGCACTTGTTGGATCCATTTGCATCACGTGATGCATCTTGCCTTGGCAACAAATAGTGGTGCTCTCTCTGCTTGCTTCAGATTACTTAACATGAGTATATGGACCATACCTGCTGTCATTTCTGTTGGAGCCCCATTTTCACCTCTGGTATGGAGCCAATCAACACTAGTGGTTAATGAACTTCCAGTTGTATTATCAGCATGCACAGTTCATAATCGGTAAGCTAAGATTGTGCTATGTTAGTATGTTTCATCATGCATTGTCTGGATTTCTGGCTGTGGTTGGTATTCTTAGTTTCTTACCCTTGTCATTTGCACATACTCAAAACCCACCAGATGTTGCCTGGTAGGATACATCTGCTGCCTCAGATGTATTGTTCTCATCTGTGCTTTTATGCCTTATCATTTGGTCCTGGCATTGCTTTAGTTATATGTACTGAAACGATTTGGACGTGGATTACGCAAGCTTAGTGTATGCTGTCATGGATCATAGATCAAACATCTTGGAGGAAAAGTTGAACGATTCTTCATCCGACGTGCAGTAACCCAATGGCAGATTCGCTTGCTGATCGGATGAACTTTCTTTCATTGACAACTGATTAGTATGGGTTAGGAGAAACTAAAAGCAACCACACGAGTATTCATGCCACTCCCGACAAGCAATTGCACAAGAAATCCATAATATAGACTAATAACATCTCTAGCAGATCCCCTGAAACTCAAATTTGAGGAGCAAAAGTGACTTCTGAGAAAAAATGAGTCAACTAGCAATTTGAACGAAATATGAGTTTTTGATTCCCAAAATCAGCCCCACCTCTCTTAAATTTCGTCTGCCGCCGTTCAGCAGACTAAAACTCCCGCAGCTCCTCCTGCCCACCCTGACGACACTGCCCTGCTACCCGCCACCGGCCGCCCCCTTCCCCGATGAACATCCGAATGGGTGGGCCGTCCGCCACTGCACCCTTGGACACCAACGGCGGTGCTGGAGACCCACCAGCGGCTACGAATTCAGCGGCGCAAGCTCCAAAAAGGCGGCAAAAGGGGAGGAACATCGGCAGCAAAGCGTCAACGACAGACCCTCAGGCACGACCACCTTACTGACCTTGGTGCAACGGACCGACAAAAGGAATTGTTCGCCGACCGAAAAGGCGGCTGTCAACACAGCGACGATCGCAAAGAAAAAGAAGAATGCGCCTGGTCTACGTACCCTCGCCATGTCGCGGCTCCCGCAAGTGCCACCCCGCCTCCTCCTGCCACGTAGCCAACCCCTCCGCCACTGTTGTCCATCGATGGGATGAATTCGTACACTACAAGTTGCGATGGCGACATGCTCAAAAAAATGCAGATAAGGTGATTTTCTTCGCTTTCCGTTTTATAGTTTACAATTTCTTAGTATAGTGATGCATTGTCCGATATTTGTTGGTGCAATCGAGTGATCCTGAAGGTTTTGGTGATTGTTGGACAGAAACAGTGACTAATTAATGTGTTTGCTAGTGCACATAAATTTAGAATTTGGAGAAGATTGCTAAAATCTTCGGAGAACTTTGCTATAAACTTTTGAGATAGTTATCTACGCAGCAGAGAAGTTTGCTAGCTTTGAGGAGTTTGCTATCTAGACTTTTTTTCTAGTGTGATGCTTAATCGAAATTACATACGAACTAAAATGAGTGAGCAAACAAATTAAAACGTGTCTTATATACATCCGACTAAAGAAAAACTAAGAATGTCCTATATTTGTGAACAAAGAGAGTAGCATATTTCTCTTCACATTCACGCATGCCACCTCATCATATAAACATGCATTGAAAAAAGTCCAACTCAACATTCAAACATGTAGGGATCACCTTAGTAACTATATACAATGAATTATATATATTTTTAATTTTAATTTGTATATTATTATGTATCCAAACATTCATGTCTAATATATTGCAACCGATCCCATGGCAACGCGTTGGGTATCGTCTAAGTACATGTTGCAGTCTTGTAGATTTTTCCGTATGGTTTAAATTTTAGTACGTTGTTTTCTAAACGCCACTAACATTCAGATTTAATTGACAACTGTACATATACTGATTTTTTGTTACTGTATCATACTTCTACGCAACACGCGGCTTGCACGTGCCCGGCGAACTCCTGCGGCGCCCGGGCGCGCGCCCACGACGGCGCCGCCCCGTTGGTTCCAGCCTCCTTGTTGAGCACATACACGGCCTGCTCACCGCCGTGGCGCCCGGCGCCGATGGCGGCCACGCGGCCGTCCCCGATGGCCACGATGACCGTCGCCGCGCGCCCGTCCTCCGGTACCGGCGCCACCGCCCGCCACCCGCTGTCGCCGTCCCGCACCGCGAGGTGGCCGTCACGTAGCATGTACATGGCGCCTGCCGCGGACGGCGCGGCGCAGCACGTCCCCGGGCACGCCCCCTCGTTGACTATCCTGTCCAGCACTGGATCCCACGCCCAGGCGTCTGTGTCGAATGCCTCGCCGGTGCCGGTGAACCGGCCCTGCGCCTCCGTCGGGTACCCGCCAACCACGACGAACCTGGCGCCGACGCGGACCCCTCTTGGCTCGTCCCGCTCCAGCGCCATGTCGGGCAGCGCCGCCCACGCGTCGGCCTCGGCGTCGTATGCCGCCGCCGACCGCAGCGCGTTCTTCTCCTCGTCGTGGCCGCCGGCGACGAACACCCTTCTTCCGGTCGCCGCGCATGCGAAGAACGACCGACGCGGCCCAGGCATCGGCGCGCCGCTCCGCCACGCGCCCTCCAGGAAGTCGTACACGTGCACCGTGTCCGTCGGCGCCCACGTCTCAGGGTCCCAGCCGCCCACCACCACCAGCTTCCTCCTCTCGCCACAGGCCACGGCGGCGAGCTGGCAGAAGAGCGGGAGCCCCCGGCCGCCTGGGAGCGGGGGCAGAGTGGCCCACCCTCCGTCGGCCGGGTCGTGGAGCACGAGCCGGTAGGAGTTGGAGAGGGCGGCGGACGCAGCGTACTTGCGGGCCGGGCCGGAGGCGGCGAGCGCGGGAAGGGCCTGGGCGAGGGCGAGGATTGGGCGGGCATGGCCGTTGGCCCGGCGGAGGCGGCCGTAGAGCGGCGACTCCACCTCCGCCTTCCACTGCCGCGAGGTGCGGCGCGCTGCTGGGAGCTGACGGAACCCCACCCGGAGCAGGCATTCCCGCGCCACCTCCTCCGGGAGGCCCGGAATCAGGTCACCCATCTTCGATCAACCTCAACCGATGCACAACCTTAATTCACTCACTCCTTCAAACGAAAAGAACCGATAACAATCCGCTTCTTGCTCTCTGGTTTGGAACCCTACTACGCAACGAGAATCAAGCAGTGAGTTGTGGGTTGTGGCTGCGCTGAGCTGTTTGGGGACGCGGCGGGATGGCGCGCTTTATACCGGAGAAAGCAGCATTTTTTAAATTTATTGTACAAACCAGGGGGGTTGCGCGGGAATGCGAGAGACGGTTTTTCGAGCGGCGCTCGCCATCCTGATCCCGTATCATATGCGGAAACAGCTTGCCTTCAAAAAAATTGGTCAGGATGGAGACGTCGCCCTCTCGGCCCGGTGGCGTGCGGCATTACAGTACAATGTAATTGCTCCGTCCCCAGTTTCGTGCCAGGCCGCCGGTCGCCGTCGCCGGGATCCGACCGGCCGGCTACGAAGAGTGTGGCTATTTATTTATTTTGATATGAGAGCGTGGATATTGAAACCTCTCGGATGGCGATCTCCAGTGCAGGCAGCAGCAGAGGTATTTTGTCCGGACAGACAGAATACTGACGGTCAGGAAACGACGGCACGGAAGAGCTGTTTGCTTCGTATACACAGGTGCCGGGCAATTGTTGTTTATTCATGGAAACCGATCGCTCTCTTGTGGATTTGGGGATTACCAGAACTTATCCAGCGGCGACCGTAAGATTCTGCGGCTGCCGACCGTGGGCGAACGAGCCGCCAGCCCGCCACACATCCACGTCGCTGCTTGTGGCAATCCGCTGCGAATAGCAGCTAGCTGAAGTTCTACCGTTTCAGTCCCCGTTTGGAACGCAGATATGAAAAACAAAACAAAAAATAGGAAAACAATATGAATTGAATATCATGTTGTAAATTTATTATAGTAATGTACTCGTTTGGATGCTCAACAGTATCTTGCACGGTAATTTTGCATGGAATTGTTTCTTCAGACTAAAGAGAAGAAGAGATGACACCAGTTGTATTGGACTTCTTTTTTTCGCCAATACGCAAAGTTTGCATATCATTTCATTGATAGGTAGGAGAGAACAAGAGTAACATAGATAAGAGAGGGGGAAGTGGGAAAGAATACAACACAACATAATCTTTCCTAGCTCAAACTCCAGCCAAGGAAGGCGAGGAGACGAGACCCAGAGCACCTAGACCACGTCACAACCATCGCAAGGCACCACCGTCGCACGGCCACCGCTCCAGGACAGACCAAATCAACGTACCCCCACCTTAAGCGCCTAGAGGAGTTGGCAAGTGGGAAGCAGGGTTCGGCTGAGCAGGAGGAAGAAGACATGGATGAGGCACCGACGATGTCGTACATTGCGCCCCGGATGCCCATGCCCTGAGAAGCAGCCCAAAACCAAGCTTGGCGTCCACCATCTTCAATTCCAACACCGGAGACACCAGGCGCAACCAAGACCGCGCCTTCAAGAAGGATACGCCGTCGGGACGCCGCCGCTGTCCGCTTTGGTGAACCAGACCTAGGGGTTTCCCCCGGTGCGCGAAGCAAGACACAGACAGAAGACCATGGCAGCGCCTTCAACAAGGACACGCCACCCGCAAGTGTCGCCACTGCCAGCAACAACAAGCTGAGCAAGGATTTCGCCTTGGTCTTTGACTGGACAATCCCAAATGCCGCCAGCTCAGGATTCGAAGACGAGGAAACCAAAACACTCGCTTGAACCACCATCGCAGGAAGGGGAGATGCACCCTTCAACAGGAGCCGCGGGAATCGCCACCACCTAGGACATCCACCATCGCCAACCTTGCTGCAGGCACCTGATCCCCCACCATCCATCGAGGGCCAGATCTGGGCAGGGAAACCCGGAATCGCCAACACCAGTAGTATCCACAGCCAACCAAGAGGAGGCATGGCCAGGCGAGAAGCATCCACAGCCAGCCGAAAGGAGGAGGCATGGCCGGGCCACTGGGAGGAGCAGTCGGGAGGGTCAACAGCAGCTGAAGGTCGGGGCAGGGGGTGGCGCTGCGGGAGGTGGATCTTGGGGAGAGGCCACGCTGCACCAGGAAGCAGCCGGTGACAGCGGAGGGGGCAAGACACGGCCAGCGAAGTCGCCGACAGGCCGGAGGAGGAGTGCCATGGGAGCGGCGATAGACACTCGCGCAGGAGAGCCACCAGGGCGCCGCCGCGGTGGATCCGAGGGCAGGGTGGCGCCGCGCGAGGCCCCCAGCAGCCGGAGCAGGGGATCTACCGCCAGCCGAAGCGGGTGATGCGCCGCCGGGCCGCGAGCGCGCGCGGGATGGAGACCCCGCCGCCGCCACGACGACGCGGGCTTCGCCCGGAAGTGGCTACCGGCGGCGGCGAGGGGAGGGGTCGGAGATGGGGGGGCTTGTGGCGGCGCGGCGAGGGACGCCGCCCGTGTCGCCTAGGGTTAGGCGACACGGGGGCCTATCGGGTGGGTTACAAAGCCGCCGTTGGCCTAGCTGCTAGTTCGTATTGGACTTCTCAAAATGAGTGAAAATATGATGTTTGAACAATTGTTTAGAATCATCCTTTTTATTGCGAAATACTCAAAACGTCTTATATTATGGGACGAAGAGAGTAATTGTTTAGAATCCTCCAAAATGCTTATGAAAGAAATGTTTTTTTTTGCCTAAGCTTATTCTAAGATCTAAATGGCATCATGCGAAAACTTTATATAAGATTATATTCCTATGTAATTCATGTGAAACCCTTTTATTCCAGTTGGAACCTCAGTTGTTGAAACGAGGTGTTTTGCAAACTACAACCATACAATTCAAGTTGTCCATTTCTTTTTTTTTAAAAGGAGGATATATCCCTGGCCTATACATCTGGGCGATGCATGCAGTCATCTTATTAATTATTCACAAAGACATTACAAAGTAATACATCAGTAAGTCTGAAGCCACCATCTTGGCAACACACCTATCGCTACTCCTATCCCCTTGATGAAGGGGTGCCAAATGTCCGAGCCGAATACCAAACAGACATCGCACCAAAGCCTAACATCTAAAGCCGATGCCCCAGCCAAGCCACAATGCCGTGACTGGGTCACAAAGTTGTCGATTTCAAATGCTAACTAGTTGCAATTATGAGTTCAGTTCCCAAACCTCATCATGTGCTTATTTCATAATGTTCGTGGATTTTCCTTTTTTGATAAAGGGAGATTTTATTATCTCAAAATGTAGCATCAAAGCGGATACAAAGCATTATGAGTAACACCCGGTCTCTATATAACTAAGATCACACAACCAAATTCAAAAGTCCGGTGAAAATTCAAGAAATAAAACCGACAAATCAGCAACAGTAGAGTCCTATAGACCGACACTATACCTATGGCGAAGGAGGTGGTGGGTCAACCCGTAGGTCATGCTGCCATGGGTTGGTGTCAAAACCGGTGGATCTCGGGTAGGGGCCCAAGCCGTGAGTCTAAGGATCGGTGGTAACGAGGATAACAGGGACACGGTGTTTACCTAGGTTCGGGTCCTCTCAAAGGAGGTAAAACCCTACGTCCTGCTTGATTGTATTCGATGAGTATAGGGTTTACAGGAGTTGATCTACCTCGAGATCATAATGGCTAAACCCTAGTCGTCTAGCCTATGATTATTTTGATGCCCTCTGCGGACTAAACCCTCCGGTTTATTGATACGTCTCCAACGTATCTATAATTTATGAAGTATTCATGCCATTATATTATCATTCTTGGATGTTTTACAATCATTTTATAGCAACTTTATATCATTTTTGGGGACTAACCTATTGACCCAGTGCCTACTGTCAGTTGTTGTTTTTGCTTGTTTTTTACATCGCATGAAATCAATATCAAACGGACACCAAACACCACGAAACTTTTGTGGATTTTTTATGGATCAAAAGACATCCAGTGGGCCAGGGAAGCACCTGGGGGGGTGCCCCGAGGGGGGCACAACCCACCAGGGCGCGCCTGGGGGCCCAGGCACGCCCAAGTGGGTTGTGCCCTCCTCGGTGGCCTCCCACACTATAACACCCTGGTGTAATGATGTACAGTAATCCCTGGGTTAAGTTAATCTTTTTTTCTAAACAAGTGTTTGCTCATCATTTTCTCTTGTCTCTTTCAAATTCCAGTTGAATTCAATTTCAAATTCCGAGTGAAATCCAAATTGCTCAAACATGAAAACTAAAATGTTCATCTTGTGGCAAATAATAATTTGTTAATATTGGTGGTGAACTAACATTTTTCCAAAATGTCAAAGTGCCCTAAACTAGTTAAAGCTGTGGCTAAAGCAATTAAATTAAATGCCTTTTTAATTTATAAAAATTGCAAACTTTTTCAAAAGTCTCACAATCTTTTTGTGGCAGCGCACAATAATTCTTTGAATTTTTTTGGCCAGTAGCATAATTTTGCAAAGTCAATTGTGGCTAAAAGAAAAGGCAAAAGCTGCTAGAAAAAGAAAAACAAAAACAGAAAAGGAAAAGGAAAAGAAAAGGGGTGGGAGAGCTCTTGGCCTTCCCATGGGCCTCGGACCATCCCAGCAGGCCGGCCAACGCCCCCTCCCCGTTCGCTCTCCCCTCCCTCGTGTTCCATCGACCTGGTGCACGCGACGAGCGCGCCCCCACCGCACCCGCTCGCCGGCGTCGAGGGGGATAATGTAACGCCCCGAGACCGTTGCGCCAGGTGTCTTCCAGTCATTCGCTGTCGTTGCCATGTCATTTGTTTGCGTGTCATGCATTTCATATCATGTCATCATGTGCATCACATTTGCATATGTGTTCGTCTTATGCATCCGAGCATTTTCCCCATTGTCCGTTTTGCAATCCGGCACTCCTATGTCCTCCGGCGCCCCCTTTTGCCTCTTTTCGTGAGCGGGTGTTAAACATTCTCGGAATGGACCGAGATTTTCCAAGCGGTCTTGGTTCACCACCGGTAGACCGCCTATCAAGTTTCGTGCCATTTGGACTTCGTTTGATACTCCAACGGTTAACCAGGGAACCGTAAAGGCCTCGTGTGTGTTGCAGCCCAACACACCTCCAAAGTGGCCCAAACCCCATCCAAACCCCCTCCATCCTCTCGGTCGTTCGAACACGATCGCGTGGCCGAAAACCGCACTCCATTTGGACTCTCCTAGCTCCCTCTACCTATATATATGTGCCCCTCTCCGAAATTCGCGGTCTAACCCTAGGCTTTTCCCTCCTCGCGTCGCCGGACATGTCCATCCGCGCCGGACACACTGCTCCGTCCAATAAGGTCGTGCCACATCACCCCGCCGCCTCCCTCCTCCACTCACAGCGCGCCACACGTCTTCCCCGGCCTCCCCACCGCGCCGCGGCCCACCGAGCCCGTCCGAGGCCCTCCCGGCCCGGAGCCGCCGCCGCCGCCTCCCGCGCGGGCCCGTTTGTCGGCGCCGCCATCTCCGCCGCCTTGCCTCCTCGCCGCCACGCGCTCCGCCGCCCGCTCCTCCGTTCGCCGCGG